ATAAAATAAAAACCTTTTAATATAAAATATATATATTAAGAAAAGTATTAAATAAAGAGAGAGAAAAACACAAAGACTTCGTCTTAAAATACTTATAGAATGTATTACAAATGATTCGTATAATACATTAGACTATTCTCATTTATAATTATTAATTTTTTTTCTTTTATTGTCTTGTTTCTCTTCTTGTTTGACGATACTATTTCGACCTTTTACGAGAGTACTCGAAATCTTTTAATGTTACCAATTTGATGCTTTCTTATGATTTTCCAATTACTTATTTTTCCATTGAGAAGCATCGCGTGAGCGGTTTGTAATTTGAAATACATCGACGCGAATAGGAACGCTCGCTTCTGTATTTCGATTCGACAGAGAATCACACAAGAGGACGAGGAGCAATCGGCGTTCCGGCCGGTCTTGCGGTTCTAGTTGTATCTATTGAAATTACCATCTGGCGGATTGGCAAGTGTGATGGTGCGGCTAACGGGAGAGCCTCCAATCAGCAGGTAATTGCTTCATTCCGTTGGCAAGGCCTGTCCAATATTGTGGCCCTCTGAGCTAAGCTTCGACGCCGAAGCGCCGCTTCAAGTATCTGGATAGAGATACCGCCAACTTTTATCTCGGAGCTCTCGATCGATCCCGGACCACCGGTATCTTCGGTTAACGAGAAGCGACGAGACGCCGACGAAGTGCGGATATGAAAAAGCATCGACTACGCGTCTCTGAAAACGGCGAGCTTAAATCCAACCAGACAACGACGTATGTACGCGGATGAAACATCAAACGCGACCCACGTTCGCGTCGGCTCATGAAATCATAATGGAAAAAGGCGCGCGCGCGCTTTAATATCGACATTTTTTAAAGGGGCAACCTTAACGGGGGCGACACGTAGGACAGACATAACGAGCAAAGGGGAACGGCGGCGGCTTCAAACGTTCTCCGCATGATACCTCCGGCTCTCGGGAGGACGGCTTTTCCTTTTCGCGTGCAGTTCAGAACGTTGGATCGGAATTAATGAACCGTAATCCCCCAATAATGAGGCTTCGGCTTCACTGGCTCCGATACGACCTCGCCATCCCCCGCGCTGCCCCGACCGCGCCACGACTCGCTTCAGCCTCGTCTCCTCCATGCCGTACACGTGCGCGACAACCTACATATGTGCTCGCGTAAATGTCACACACACCTTATGGACATCTACACCTGCGTGACGAACAAGACCTCGGAGCTCGAGACTGTCGACGCAAATTATCTTCCCGGGGAGCACGCGTCGATGCCGTTTATCGCACGTAATCGGCGCGGCTCGACGATTTTTCTCGCACGAAAGAACGTAACGCACACGCAGATTGACACGCACCGCTGCAAATGCTTGAAAATTCGACTTTCGAATTTTTTTTTTTTTTTTTTTTTACGTCAACGCTGACCTCGAACTCGTTAATATTTAGAGCGATGTATTCGGTAAACTTGAAATATCGCGATTACCTCGGAAGTTTCTCATACACTATGAAGATTTTCGTAATTGTTACAGTTATAACTCGCAACAAGAATGTTTCGACAAATTATCTGGAAAAAGAAAAAGATTTGCAGACTTTTGATATGACGATCGCTTCTTGTAACGAGTTGTTTAAGTGAATTCATTTTTGCAAAAGTTTGAATTTAGAACTTTCTCGGTTCTTTCACATACGGCAAAATTTTAATTGAAAAAAGACTGACATTTGAAATATACAAGAAAAAAATAGAATTTTGCTAGTACTTTATTATATATCTTCTGGATCTTTTATTTTGTTTATTGCTATATGCATAACACTATTATTGAGCGACAAAATGATTTCAAAGGATTTAGATATTGTATAATGTATTTAAATATAAAAAAAATATTCTAAAGTACTTTTGAGATTTAAATAATGTAAACGTAATATGTGTGCCATGATTTATTGACAAATTTTAGAAAAATTAACGGATTTTAGAGACAAATAAGAAATTACAACAATGAAAATGAATGGTCTTTAAGGAATGTAAAAATATATCATACATATATACACATACACACACACAATGCTTCGCAGCTTTGTTCCTTCGCAGCGCTTTAAAGAGTAACACAAACGTATATAGCTGAGAGGCAAAAAGAGAGGTATATCGCGAGCAAAACTCTCGATATTAGTTATAGTTACAGTAACGCGGGAAGTTACATCCGCTCCCGGAAACTTTTATGCTTTTGTAAACTGCACCTGGTCGCTGGTTTTCTCGCGACGCTCGCGGTTATACGCGCGTTTGACCTCGTTCGAGGCCCGGCCTCAAACGAAACTTTTAATAACCGAGGTACTCGTGTAGCGCGAGCCCTTCAGCGTTCGAAAATGCCAAATACAACGGTGTGTCTGCCGCATGCGTTGCCGAAGGTGATACAGCGAATGAAAAGTCAAAGGGAGATGATTTTTACGCAATAACCTTCCAAGTCTCCGACCTTGCACTGTAAATTATCGACTAAAGCTCGTCATAACGCTGCACTTGAGTTTCAAGGTATATTTCGTAATCGCGAGAAACGAATAAAAATATTCATCTCTGTTTCTTTACTTTGCTCACTCTTATTTGCGTGTATTTTTAAAAAATTAACGCAAGTTATCCTCGCTTTTCTAAAAATATCAGAAACAATGGTTTGCTCGCATTACGCACTTGAGTAAGTCTGCGATGGTCACGGAGGAGAGACAGCAGAAGAGTATTCTCTAAAAGCTACTCGCTCCTGCATGATTTCGTTTGTCGCGCAAATACCCATTCGATGAGAATACCCATTCGAATGTTCTGGACGAAACGCGCGACATAGAAAAAAAAAAAAAACAATAAAAGTAAAATTTGGCGCGGCGAAACGAGCGAGTGTTTCTGACAGCGTCGATTGGCGTCGACGTAAAATCACCCCCTCTTTCGGGGGCGAACATTTAACGCGCGTAGAGCGTATATCTCGCATGGCATACGCATTATCGCGAGAGTGTCGGGAACGGGCTGTGCGCGTATGCTGAAAATGTTTCATCGGGATTGTCTTTGAAGCCAGCAAGGAGACGTCTCGATCGATTTAATAGAAACGAGACGCGATGTATCACAAGGTGACGTTCCGTGGAAATCTGTCGGGCGGATATATCGCGTTACCGGTCTGTATCTGACGGTGTCCTCGTCGTTAAATTAAAAGCAATTGCACCAGCCGGCGTATGTGGTTTGCTGATGAATAACGGCCTCGAGCCTTTTGTAGAGAATTCCCGCGAGGTGAAGACGGTCAATCGATTATCGATATACGCTCCAATTGTTGTCAATGCATAACAATCATGCCGCAGATCGAACTTGTGGTTACGGTTTCTTATTGCTGTATAAATTTTTTAGCGCAAACAGTTTTACTTAAAATAATTTGCAGTTTCTATCCTGCCATTATTCGATTAAATTGGATTATTTCTTAAGCATTCTACTTTAATATATATCTAATAATCTTATCGGTAAATTGAAAAATCGTACTTTTGTGTATATCACATAGTTATTATTTTTTATTTAGAATGTGATAGTTTTATCAAATAAAAGAGAATTAATTCAATTAATATATTGTTATTGTTACAAGTTTAATAACGATTAATCATCGAGCTTTTCTCTTATATGACCTGAACATCGATTATTCCAATGATTTTCAAAAAATAAATGCGCCTATTACATATAGAGCCATCTAATATATTTTTAACATGTACATATGAGATTCATTTCTCATTGTGTAACAATTTCTGTCTGCGACGCGAGACTTTCGCGTGTAAAAGGAAGGGTCGTCCATCACGATAGTATCGATTTAATGTCAGTGTATGAATCAGGACGGAACCAGTTAGTAAACGTCGCATCGATAGAAGTTATGAAACTCATTGTCAGTGTAATATCATAAAAATGTTTGAATTGTAATGTGAATTAATCTTTCTCAGAAAAGATTATAGAATATATTTACATGAATATTTTTATTTGATTTATGCTCTTTTATTGTGAGCATTTTAGGCTTCCTAAGGAAGGATATTGAAAAAAAAAACCAACGAGCGATATAAAAAAGGGAAAGGGATGAGGTGCACGCGAGAGAAGCACGGTGAAGTACGCCATGCGAAGTCGCGTGACCAAGGCTAAAAGTCTCGTTACGCAAGTTGTAACATTACAACTGTTATATAAACTCTCAGGAACGCGCGCCCAGCCAGCATTTGCATTGATGACGTGAATATAATGTATCACCGGGAACTCGCGCGCGCGAAAGCCGTGCTTTTCTCCGCAGCCACAATGGCCACTGACCACCTGTTGCATTTCCATTTATATTTTAGACGTCGTGAGAATGTCATCGCCTTACATATTCTCGCGAGCGTCTCAAAAAGGAAAGAGTCTTTTTCGTGCGAAAAGATTTGCGAATCACTTCTTTGTCGTACATTTTATACCTATGCTCCTTCATCCAGCGAGCATTATGAAAGCGGTTATTTTGCTTTGTATGTTATATTTGATTTATTTTATATATTGCATTTTCTTCTTCATTTTCGAAGAAATATTACGATTATAAACTCATTTAATTTTAATAACAGATACAAAAATTATTAATTGACAATGAAACATATAAAAGAATTTAGCTCCCAAAGTTTTAATTAGAACTCGATAGTTTCGATGCGTGAAATTTACATGAGAAATTGTTTTAATGAATTTAATTCTTTCCGTGCTTTTCGCGTAATTAGACGCTATCGTAAAATATCGGCAATATATATAAATTCTCAATTATTCTCGTTCACTTATAAAAATCTGATTAAAAATAATTTTTCTACGTCTTATTCATGTATGCTATAAATAATAGCTCGTTACGGAGATCGTTAAAATGTACACGTAGCATGTGGCATGTCGTAAAATTACGATGAACCATAAAAATGTCAACATTGTGAGAGTGAAATTATGAATATTGCATTATCTGTTGCAGGGTGCGTCATCCAGCATAGTGGTAAAATTCGCAGACACTGATAAAGAGAGACAACTAAGACGCATGCAGCAAATGGCCGGGAACATGAGCCTCCTTAACCCCTTCGTCTTCAATCAGTTCGGCGCTTACAGCGCTTACGCTCAGGTGGGTCGTGTTACCGTTAATGGCTCTCGCGTTACCGCATTACCGCCTTGTTGTCCTCGTTACCGCGACTCACAATCTGCAATGGCTCGTCCCTCGTTACTCTCGGAAATGATCGGCCGAAACATGATGCCGTCGCGTTAACGCGTGTATGCAAAGAGAGAGGTCCGCCGCAATCACCTTTCGTGATTTAATTCTTCCCAGATTTAACCAGGTTACGAGAAGAAAGAAAATGTCGTTTTCGAAAAATCGCTACGTTTATAATATTCTACGATATACTCCAAAATCATCGAAGAGCATGTTTTTAGTTACAATTTCTTTTTCATCAATTTGTGGGATAAAAAGTTTTCGAACAAAAAAAAAAAGATAACATTGATTAGAGATGATCAAGATCAAAAGTTATCGTTTCTTGGAATAATTCTGTTTGCTAAAGTAGTAATAGAAAAATACAAGAACGTTCTTTTTGATGAAAGTCTTTGCTTTATTGTAGCAACAAGCGGCGCTCATGGCAGCCGCGACCGCACAGGGAACGTACATCAATCCAATGACTGCATTGGCCGCTGGACAATTGCCGCATGCATTGAATGGCATGCCAAACCCTGTAGTCCCGCCAACTTCTGGTAAGCTTATAGCTGACTGAAAAAACATTAGAATGATACTGGATATGTCGTGGGTGTCGCAAGAGAAGAACTCATTTGCTCTCTAATTCGCAAGATATTTTTTGAAACTAAAACATGAATTGATCGAATTGTCTGTGAACTTTTCGGTGGAAATGTTTGTAATCTAACGAGAAATACCGATATAACAAATAGCATAATTGTCTCAATAAATTGCATTCTTCTTTCGCGGATATCTGCATATATATAATACTTTTATTATTTAGCATTCTTTTATATATGTAGACATTACGTAATATTTGAATTTAACTGGAAAGTTGTTATATTTCGAGTTTATTCGCAGTTTAATTAATTTAAAATACTCATATTGAGCTGCGACAAAAATATAATGTACACATCTTGCTAGTATAGCTCAAGAACATCTGCGATACAATATATATTTACGAAGATCACGTGAAAAATATTCAATTTTTCAATCCTGATTAATCAATGTCAGATTATCCGATTAATCAACTAATAGTATCAATCTATTAAAATATTTAAAAAGAAAGGAAGCACTCGAGGGCACACGAATTATCAATCATCAACCTGATAACGCCGTTCGATTTTAATGATATAAAATATCTCTCCCGTTCGGCCGTCATTTCTGCCTGATCTGTTGCCTGTAATTTCCCTGAATCTTCGCGACACACACAGACGAGGCGTACAGTCGGTTGCCTTATAACCGACTCGTAAATCAATACAACATTTTCATCGAACGTGACTCGAGCGAGAGATATTGCCGGTACCGCGAAACTTTATCGAAAGCTCGTTGTAGGAGAAGAAGAAAAGCCAAAGAAATGCCTCTTCCTTGCCCTCACACTTCCCTTTCCCCTTTCTCCATCCGTCTTTCTCATTCGCACCCTCCGCATGGCAATACAAGAAACAACGGAGAGATCCAAGTCGCTGTAGAGAAATAAAATAAGCGAGGAAATCGGCTCCGTTATACGTCGAGTCTCGTCAAGCGGAAGGTAATACCGTTTGATAGGGAAATAATATTTTATTTCTCCGCCAATCTCCCCCGGCCTCGCTCCCGCGGCCCACCCCGTCGCGTCCATCCGCTTTACTCCGTACCAAAGATTACCGGAGCAGCGAGCTTTTATTTCCGACGGAACGATACCGCAACCGCAAACGGCATGTATACAGGATGGCAGTTGCAGGTGGATCTATTGGAAAAACGTTCTGTGACTCCAACGATAATTGCATTTCAAAATATTCTTTGGAAGACGAATTCAACAATTCATTGATGATATAGAAATTAATGCAGAGTTATTTTTAGTTATAAATAAATACTTCAGTAAAATCTTTTTATTAAAAAAATATCTCGAAATAGCACATTGGATTAATTTTTCTGCCTATTTTGTATCATGTGAAAATTCAACGATTATTCGATTCGCGCGTAATGTATCAATATACTTTGAGGTAACAATGATTTTACTGCCGCTGTAAAAATCTCACCCGTGTAGAGAAACCGCTCGACTACCCATCACGAATCGACAATGCCGGAACGTATATCGCCCAGTCACGGGGAGTTTAAGTTTACGACGTATCGTCATATCCGATGCACGTAGCGAGGATGTGCGCAGCGTAATCTCCGGGTGTTATCGAGGCATCGAGATTCTTCTTCCCCGACTTCCACCTTTCGTAGCCATATAAACTCGATTCGGATATGCATTAAAGTGCCAGTACTTATCTTTATCTGACAACCAATCGCGATGTTTGGAAAGCTCTTTCGAGAATCATTCTTTTAATTTCAAAAAATTGTTTTGATTATATCAAACACATATCGATATTATTGTTATCGTGTGCCCTTGACTGCGTATTTTCCATAATTGCACATTAACTCGATAGAAATAACACAGATATTGCTCAAACATAATTATATCTCTTTATCAATGCCGCGAGTAATATTGATGTGATACCAAACGTTGGTCATCGGCGCAATCAATGCGTCATTAACACGATGCAAGTCTTTGATCGCTGATCCGAGTCACATCATTGACAGGGGACAAACTATTACCTATAAACACGACCTTTTCACACATAAACGTTGTAGTATATCAAAAACAAGCATATAGTTGCAGTAGTATGATACGTGATCGTATGTTACGCGAAAGTTTGCGCGAAACGCAACACAGGATCACAGAGATAAAAAGGAAGAGTAAGGGAGAGTAAGAGAGAGAGAGAGAGAGAGAGAGAGAGAAATGCAACGTTAAACGCAGCCCTTTGACCCAACCGATATTAACTCGATACAAGGCTCTGGTCTACGGATCAAATCAGCAATTCGACGATCCGTAGTTTGTCCGACCCCTCAAACGCGAGGCATACGGATCATTTCCCGGATTGAATATTTGTCGTAATTACATTCGACGCAGAAAGAGAGAAACGGTGCGAGAAAAAAAAATACGAAAAAGGGAAAAGGATAAAAATTGCATCCTGATGCCTCGCGCACAGAGGACGATCGAGGTCGGTGTTAAAAGAGCAAGAGGGTAACCGGTGTGTACTGATCAGGTTTGCTCGTAGGTACCGGCACAGGGCAACCGGTTAACGGGGCGATACCATCGTTACCATCGCCGACGATGCCCAATTTTAACATGGCCGCTCAAACGCCGAACGGCCAGCCGGCAGGCTCCGATCCAGGTGTCTACACCAACGGAATACCGCAGACTTATGCGGGACGTGAGTATCAACTCAGGCGCAGCGTGCCGCCCCTGCGCAATGCCCGGCCAATCGACGACGGACTTTATTATTCCGCGGGGATGTAAATAACTTCGCGCAGGCCAAGTACAACGTCGAGTACGTCAGGCGGTACTCGTCGTACTTTTCCGTGCTTCGCTGAGGAAGCGCGCTACATTCGTTGGCGTTTATTTGCCAGGAAGCGAAATTACGATGATACGAGATTCATACGTGGAAGACCGATGTGCAGTTTTACGGACTTCTGTTAAACGCGAGATTTATATTTTTTAAGAGATGTAGAGCTACTTCCAGTAACGTGAACAAAATCGTATTTGCAATAAATAAATGAGTAAATGTTAATTTTAAGATCTCGTTTATATACAGATCCTCGACGTATTACGAAAGACTCCCCGATTGAATCTCGGTCTTTACAATTTTCAAAAATATAAGTACAATCCGAATGTTGGTCAAGTTAAATCATACAACGCTAACGAATCATTAAACTGTCGTATAAATTGTACCGTGCGAATAATAAATTTTACACAGAGGGTGATATATGATTATTCCTATAGTCAAGCTTCCATTAATCTTTGGCCTTTATCGCTCATTCGAATAGTCATTACTATACTCGAGTATAGTCGGCGGAAATATCGATTGGCCTACTGGGTATTGCGACAGGGGCCTCTAGGCTAGGCCCTCTCCCCGATAAGAGCTGAGCTTACTGAAGTGTAGATGCCCTCCATCTGTCCATTCCAGCGCAGGGGCTGCCCAACGGGGAGGCGGCACTTCAGCATGCCGCCGCGTATCCTGGAATGCAGGCTTATGCTGGAGTGGCCGGTAAGTGTTTCTCCAGCTTCAATTTTTATCTCTACGGCTTGTCAAGGTGCTGTCTACCCTATTCCCCGTGCAATGACTGTAGCGCGTTTCGCCCATCCAGCTCCATCCAAACGGACTCGCGGATATTATCGACGTAAAAATAGACGCAACGTCAGAGGCGCGGACATACTTATTCGTAGAATTTCTTTTATTCCGAATCGAATAAGTAATCTAAACGTGAATGATGAAAGTCAATTATATTTATATCATAGCATCGTTGTTATAACACGAACGAATCTAATTATAACGATAGCTCGCGTAACAATTTTCTTTTCCTCCTAAGCTTAAAGTTAATTCAGGAACGCGGATACTCTTTTTTAAAGTCGCTTTAAAGTCTCATAAACGTTTTGCATTATCGCTCAGTGAACAGAACGGATCATCGGTTCCAACACGCGACTAGATAACACTTTGCGTACTCATCTCACCCGGATGTTGCCTATCGCGATCTTGAGCGGGTCGAAAAAAGCGCGTGTTTTCGACGAAAAGAGAGGAGATTATCTGTACGTAAAAGGAAAAATGCATCAGAACGTTTACGTGCTTTTATTCGGGCGCCGTCGAAGCACTTACCTGCGAAAAATTCGATTTTGCTGATCGCGTTGCTGGTTGTTTGCATGCAACTATGGCCGCATGCGTATACACACCATACATACACGTCATACATGATCGTGTACGCGTCAACGTTTCGTTCTATAATGCTTCTGCTGTGGTGCTACAATGTACTTCGATGTCCTTCTAAATGTACTTCGTGTACATATTATATTGTAGTTTTACACGTTACACGTCCTCTCGTGCATGCATCCCCCTCACCAACAACAGCGGCGAAATATCCGCCATCGACCGTCGACGTTGCGCTGTAACGTCAAAGTGCAGCGCATCGGCGCAAATTATGATCCAATAATGCTCGGCAAAATGGATGATCTCGTTTCACGGATAATCAGCGTCTCGATGGACCTATACTTCTATTACATTCCAATCACCGTCCGTAATGAGAGTACGTTTAACGAATTCCGCGTTCGCGCAAATGCGTTAACGCGTGGTCTAACACCAGTCGAACGGACACGGCTGATCGATCGAATCTGTAAAAATAAAAAGAAAAAGTTGTAATCGGAAATGAAAAACGGACGCGCAAGAGATACTACTACTTATTCTTGCCCCGCGTCTCTGATTAATAATTCCCTCTCTCGCGCATCTCTCAACGCATTTTTACCGTATCAGCGGAAATTCAACAAATTCGAGTCATAACAAACGTAGCCGCGTATGCGCGCGCGAGAGTATACGCGGTTGTATTTACCGAGGATTCAAAAGCGGTATATTTTTTTTCTATGTATTTTCGGCCAGTGTACACACGCGCCATCGAGATCAGCGAGTGGAAAAAAAGCAATCCCGAATAACGGTGTTGTACCTCTATCTGAGCGTGACGCGGCCGACGCGACGTATGATGGCGTATTTATTTCATACGCCGAACGTTGATCCATCGCGCACCGAGGGGAAGGGGGAGGGGAGGGGGGGGGGGGCGTTGGGGAGGTCAATCGGAATATATTAAAGCGATGTTTGCACGGAAATAATTAATTCCGGGGCGAAAATTTGCCTCTGCCGATCTGAGAGCGTGGCTCGCGCGCACACGCTCCGCCTATCCGTCACAAACAGGTATCAATCACGAGCGTTTTAAATATTTATCAAGCTATAATTAATAACGACGTACTTGCTTTCTGCCTCGTCACGTGTAGCGAACGAAATAATGCTGGTTCGCGCGTGCGTTTATAGCGAGATCCAAATTTACAGATTAACCAATTGTCATCAAACGTGCAGAGATCGCATCGCGAATTAAAATATATCGGGCACTTCTGTTTAATGCGAAATATTTTGCAGATACTCGTTTTGATCAGACGTAATATTGATATTTATTCATTCTACGCGGGCGTTTCCTTCCTCCAATAACAGATACAGTAAAATAGCATTACAACAAAATTTATCAAGTTTTCATATTAAATTTGTTACATTAGATTCTCATTATTTTATTATTATTTAAAATTGAATTATTACATTAATCTCTCTCACATACACGCATCGAGCGATTCTTAATACATATCGATGTCAATTATTAATCAAGAACATGTAATCAAATCTAGTTATATTAAAAAGCTCTATGTAATAATGCCATTTTTTATCGATTCATTGTAATGTGATATTAAGCAAATGCTATTACGATAATGTCTCTCCAATTTCTGAGCTTTATTCTGTACGAGTCGTATATCCTTTTCGCGAGATCTTCCGTTTTAACGTTTGTAGATTGGGATGCTTTTCTCTTAATTGTTTGAATATTTAGTTTCGCATAAATTGCAACGGGATATTCTGTATAGCTTTGTAGACGACTTTTGCTGCATCGTTGCGCTAAGACGGCGTTCCGTATCCCGTTTTAATGAGGCGCGTTGTTTCAAGCCGAATCGGCTTTGAAGAGATATCGAGTGTCGGCTAATGTCGCACCGGATGCAACGCTGCGTTTTTGCAGGCCGTGACGGTTCGTAGTACAAAAGTATCGTGTTGAAAGTCGCGCGAGAGAACGGTGAGAACGTTGAGAGACGAATACCCTTGTCGACGAAAACGCCTGTGATGAATGTCGCCTGGAATCGCTTGTACGAGACGACCGTTCATATCAACGAATCGCTCCTCCGCTCGCTTTTAAGCCGACGGGGTAAACACAGGCCGCACGAATAGAAGCGCGATTTCCATATTTCGCGTTAACGATGAGATTATGCGGAATATCCTAGAGATAATAATTCTCGAGGGAAAATTTTCAGAGATGAACCTCACACTCATTACTTTTCCATATTAGTTAAATACTCATTTCGATAAACGTAGACTTAAAATTGTTGAACAAATAAAGTTTATCTGAATTAAGTAAATGTTATTTTATGTATATATGTGTGCGTCCAGAGAGCTTAGTTCTCGAAAAGCTTGCCATTCCAAAGCAATCACAGAATCTGTCATTAATGTTGAGATTGTAATAAAACCTGCATATTTCGAATATTGCATCTCTTATGATTCGCAGAGAGAGAGAGAGAGAAATATTCTTGCGTTCTTCACATTTCATATTCTTCTAACATTGTGATACTCTGACCTTTCCCCCGTTTCGCAACGAGTCTTCGGCAAATCGCAAGAATGAATGGTCGCGTCCGGTTACGTATTCCGACACTTCTGAAACGCACGGTCATAAATTACACCGTTGTAATCTGTCTAGCAATGGCAACGCAATTTCTGTTGAATCTGTTGACGTTTATTGGACTCTGTTCGGCTTTTATTACTGTCATCGTCCATTATGTATGCGCTATCGCTGCATTGAATTACGACGCCTACATTCGTTCGGTGGGTTGTTGCCGGTTTCGACCTGTCGCCGGCTCTTACTGTCGACGACGGCCGACTGCGGATCGCAATGCGGACTAGGGAAAGGAAAAAAAAAAGAGAGAGAGAGAGAAAGAGATTGAGAATGGAATATACAGAGATAGAGGCAGTGAGCACGCACAAATCTAGATGTGGACAGATCATGATGTACTTGTTATTTGTTATTGTCGCAGCTTACCCCGCCGTCTACGGCCAGTTTCCTCAGGCTATTCCTCAGCCGATGACCGCGGTGGCGCCCACGCAGAGGGAAGGTAAGTACAACACGCTCATCAACGTCTAACTGTTGACTGTAAACACGAACGACTGTAGACCCGAGATTTGTAGACCCACGTCCCGTACACATGTCCAGACACGAATTATCCCTCGTCGGCGCCCAACGAGGTGCAAGACGGAGTTTCGACTTCTCCCGCCGCCGCCCATCGCACAGCAGCTCTGTACCGTTA